TATATATTAAGTATAATATTAATTAACTTTAATTTAATTATTAAAGTAAATTATTAAATAATTAGAAGATATAGCTATTTTATATTACTAATAGTAAAAAAGTATAATCTATTTTATAAATCTTTAATTTATTATATTTAAAAGGAAGGGATAAGATAATTAATTTTAATCTATTAATAGCTATATAAATATTAATAACTTAATTATAATATAATATATTAATAATTAATATTATAATATTTTTAATAGTTATAAAATTATATTTAAAATTAATATAACTAATATATTTTATTTATATAATATATAGTATTATTTATATAGGTTATTTATTTTATTTTATATTATTATTAATTCTATTTATATTCTATAATTAGTTAATAATACTTTATAAATTTTAAATTAAATTTTATTTACTTTTTTAATTTTTTATATTTTTAAATTATTTTTAATAATTTTTAATATATAAAGATATTAAAGATTATTTTTAAAATATTTAAATATATAAATAGTTAATATAAAGGTATTTAAATAGATAATTTTTAAAGCTTATTATATAAATATTTAGAAATATTAGTTTAAAATAATAAAATTTTAACTTTAAGTTAAAGTTTATATATATAAATTATAATATTAATAACTTTTAAGGTAAAAAGTACTTATTATAAAGCTTATTAATTTTATATTAAATACTTTTAGTTATTAATAATTATATAGGTATTAAATATAATATTATAATATAGTATAATTAAAATAAAAGATAATATAAAACTATTTAGTTAATTAAGTTATAATTAGTTTTTAAAATTAAATAATATAATAAAAGTTTAATTAATTATAATTATAATAGTAATATTAAATATTTATTTTATTTTATTTTATTTTCTATAATTTATATATATATTATTATTAAGTTAGACTTTTAAGTATATTTATATTTATATTTATATTTATATTTATATATTATTTTTATATATATATTTATAATATAATAAAAATAATAATAATTATTATTTTAGCTTTTAATTTAAAGATAGTTTATTTTTTTTATATATATAGATTAATATATAATAAAATAATTAATATTTATATAATTATTAAAAACTATATTATAAGTATTTATATATTTAGTATTATATTTTATATTATAAGCTATTATTTATTTTTTTAATTTTAATAAAGACTTATATATAATTATATTTAAATATTTAATTTATAATAATTTAAACCTTTATTAAATAATCTTAATAATAATAGTAATTAAAAGATAGAATATTTTTATTTAATTTAATTTATTAGTTAATTTAAAATAATAAATAATATAAATATTAACCTTATAGTTAATATACTATTTTACCTTTTATAGATTTAAAATAGATTAATATACTTTATAAAAGATTATACTAATTTAATTTAAAGTTAAAAGCTATTTATAAACTTTCTATTTAATTTAATTAGTTAATTTTATTAAATAGTATTTAATTTAAGTATTTTAAATTTACTTAAATTAAACTTTATTTTACTATTTATTTAAGTAAATTTTAATTCTTTTCTTTTATTTTATATTCTTTATATTAACTTTAATTTTAAAGTTAGTTATATAATTTAAACTATTACTCTATTATAAATATATTCTTTTTTAATTTTAATAATATTAAACTTTATTAATTATTTATTTTTAAATATTTTTAAATAAATTATTAACTATTTTTAATTATTATTATAAATATATTATTAACTACTTTTAATTACTCTTTTAAATAACTAATTATTAATTATAATTATTAATAACTCTATTATTTTTAATAATAATAAAATTATAATTTTAAATAATAATAACTTTATTATTTAAATAATTATTTAACCTAACTATATACTATTTTAAAATATTATTATTATAATTTATACTTTTATTTATTTTATTATAATACTACTTTCTATCTATTATAACTTTAAAAATAAAATTATAGTTATTCTTTTAAATATTATATTTAAATATACTTTTAAATAATAATATTTAAGTTAAAGTTTATTTATACTATCTTTAATATAAATATAAAGTTTATAATTATTATTAAAATATATAAGTTATTTTTAAATAGTAAAGTAGATTTATTTTTATTAAATATATAACTTAATAATTATATAAATAACTATATTAGTATTATATATAAATTCTTTAATAAAATAAGTTATATTATTATTATTTTTATAATTTAATTAAATAATTATATATAAATAACTTTAATAAATTTTTATAAATTACTTTAAATATTATTATAAAATATAATTAATAAACTTTATTAATTTATTATTAACTTAATAAATTTAATATTTAATATATACTTTAAAATAATTTATATTTTTATTAACCCTATTTAAAATTATTTTAAATATATTAAATTATAATATAATTCTTAATTATAATTAAGTAAATCCTTTTATTTTTAATACTATTAATATTATTTATATAGAAGCCTTTAATAACCTTTTAAAATTAATAATAATATTATAATAATCTTTTAAACTTATATAGAGTTAAAGGAATATTATTTAAATTTAACTTAAAGTTTATTAATATATTATAAAAGTTAAATAATAATTTTACTATACTTTATAAAATTATTACTACTTTTATATTAATTATTAATTTATTTATTATTAATATAAATATATTACTTATTTTAATTATATTTCTTTTAATATCTTTATAATTTTATAATAAATTAAAAGGTAATACTTTTCACTTTAAGTTTATATTATTAATAATTAATTCTATTTTAAATTAATTTTATTTATATTAAATATAATTATTATTATTATTTAAAATAAAGTAGAAATATTAATTATAATAAATTATTAACTATAGATATTATATAATCTTTTAAATAACCTTTATAAATTTTATTAAATATAAAAGAGAGCTTTAAATAGAGTTAATATTATTATATATTTTTAATTTATAAAATTATATTTTTATATAATATTATTATTAAAGTATTTAAATAGTTTAAAATATAAATAATAAACTTTTAAAACTATAAGTATAATAGTATTTTATAAAAGAGAAAAAGCTACTTTATATTTATATATTTAAAGGAATCTAATATATTAATTAATAACTTTTAACTAATTAATAAATTAATATTATATAAATAATAATTAAAATATAATATTAAATATTAATACTTTTAATAAATATATTATAAATATAAATTAAGTTTTAAAAATATTATTATTAAGATTACTTATTATTAAATATAAAATCTTAAATAAATTACTTTTATAAATTAAAAATAAAATTTAATTTTAAAGATATTTTAAAAGGTTATTATTCCTAATATAAAAACTCTATTTTATAATACCTTTATTATACTATTTATTTTTAATAATTAATATTAATAACTTTATATATTAAAAATAATAACTTTATTTATTTTAATATATTTAAAATTTATAAAAATATTAACCCTATTTTATTAAATAATTTATTATAAAAAACTTTATTTTATTATTATATTTACTTTTACCTTATTTTTATTTTAATTTATTTTAAAATATATATAAAAATAATAATATTTAAATTAAATATAAAGAAATTATATTTTTATACCTTTTAATTTTTATAATTTTATAATAAATTAAAGTAAGAATAACTAATAATAAATTTAATATTTTATTAAAAATTAATATAAAATATACTTTTATCTTTTAATATAAAATTACTTATTTTAATTATAATAATAATAATAAACTATTATATTAATATTTAATAATTTTAAGATTTAAATATTCTTATTTAATAGAGTTAGTTATTATAATTTAATATTACTATTTTAAATTATTATAAACTTAACTTTATTAATAAAAACTTACCTTATAATTTATATATTTAAATAATAGTATAAAATTATATAATATTTATTTAATACTTTTAAATATATAATAATATTTTTAAATAGTTTATATATAATTAATATATTTTTTAAGTTTATAAAAACTATATTTAACTTTAAATTATTTAATATATTAATTTAAAGTTTAATTATAAGTTAATATTAAAAATAATAATAATATTATTATACTTATTAAAAGTTTTAAGTTTTTATAATATTTAAAATTATTTTTTTAACCTTTTATACTCTTTTTTATAATAATTAATTATAATAAATATTATTATATATAAATATTATATATAATTAATTATTTAATATAAACTTAAATAAAGTAAATAGATAAAAAAATAGATAAAAGATAGAGTTAAAAAGGCTAAATTTCCTTCTAAAAGTAGCTTACCTATATATTAGATAAAATAAACTACTAAAATAGATAAAAGCTTTTATAAAAATAGGAAAACTTTTACTCCTAAAGCTGAAGAGGCTATAGAGATAAGATGGAAATATACACACGGGCGAGGGCTTGGCAGACCACCTAAATAGGCAGTCTTCTCCCCCGATAGCTCCGTCAGACCCCAGCTTGGCTGCAACCAATCAAAAGCCAGGTCCCGAATTCAACCAATCAGAGGCCCCCATTCAACTTTGGATGTTAATTCATCTTTGGATGTTGGGTTCAACTTCCGCTGGCGACCCCCCGTATTTCCCCCTACGGTATACAGAAAAGCGATGAGCTCCGATTTCGTTGAGCCAATGAATGAACATGGGCTGAGACTATATGCCTTAAGAGACCGGATGGCAGTCAAACCATATCAACTAAGCGAGGTACTTAGGTAGACTGGAAATAATCCGGGGCAGTCATAATGACACCCTTTGTGTGGTCGTGGAAAGAAATCCGGATCAATAGAAGATGACTATAGATCACCACTCCTTGATCATGAATGCAAGGCCCTGGCAATGGGCGACTGACATATTAATACTATGGAATGAGAATTAGACATTAAAAGTTGCAGATGCAATCTGCGACATGAATCAAATAACGCCCCACGAGCCCGTACCAAGGAAAAGAAAAAAAACAAATTTTGCACTCCAATAGACCATCAAATCTGCTCACAGCATGACCGTGAAAAAGAACGAGAGCATGACGATCGTCGCACCAGCTAGGACTGCGACATTCCTCTCAGGAGCCTCAGACTGGACGTATGTCGGCTGAGCGGGCACAGCAGCGGCCGACGTCTCAACAACTGGCGGAACAGGGGCGACCGGGGGCGGGACCGCAGGTGGGGGGACAGCTGGCGGAGGCATGGCCGGGGGAGGGACGCCTGGCGGGGGCATGGCCGGCGGGGGCATGGCCGGGGGAGGCATGACTGGGGGTGGCATGACTGGGGGAGGCATGACTGGCGGTGGCATGACTGGCGGTGGTGATACGGCTTGCGAGGAGGCGACTGGCGGGGGAGGAACCACGGGGGGTGGAACGACGGGAATCGGAGATTTGCTTTGCGTGACCACAGGGGGGTATGAAAATGAAGTCGGCTTGACGACCGGCGGAGGAACTGGGGTCGGCAGAGGCTTCACGGGCTGTGAGAGTGGTTGGATGTGTCAGCTCGCCTCCATCGTGGCACCAAGGTAGCACATCCGGATGTCGACACCCAGGCTGTCAGAAAATAATTAAGCTCTTACCTTCGTAATTGTGCAGGGACAATTGGTGATGGTGAGCATAGTAGGCCCCTTTGCCGTATACGATTTGTGGTTGACAACAATCACCGTCGGTCCGGGGCACCACGTCGTGAACGACTTGACAACAATAACAGTCGCATTGTATGACTTCCAGGGCACCACTGTTGAAACATTGGTGGGGATGACAGGAATGACGGGAGCAATAGGCCGGGGAATAGGTGTGCGAATAAGGGGCGGCCCGACGCTGGTGCTGTTGGCGGGGGCCGTGTTGTTCTGAGCAGCCGTCAGCCCCACGGCACCTAGCGCCAAGAATGCTCTAAGCAGATTCATGATGTCTCGTTTAAGGTGATAACAAGCTTCTGTGGGAGATGAGACGCCTTGACTGGATGATTCCAAGGTGAGGCGGGGACTTGATCAGCCGAGATGAAAAGTCTGAAAATGAGATGACCACAACTGCGTTTACAGAACATTATTTATATTCAACGTGGTGTCTTCAAATCGCGCATGCAAGAGTCATAATTAACGACACCATCACGACGGAAACAGCGAGGCTCGGCTCCCCACAATGTCTTAGATATGACACGGCGCCTTGGTCTTTGCTCGGGCCTTCCCGCTACATTCCAGTAGTACCCGCGTGTATGCTATTCCCACATGGCCAATACGAAGCGGGTGCGGGTTGTCGAATCACTGTGCGTATTGTAGTATGAGGTTGGGGATCGACAACGCCTTACTGACTTCTATCTAGACTGCTGTCTGATGTCCGTTTGCGGCGTCCGATCAGAACGCAAATCGTATTCTAACTACTATATCCACAAGCCCTCGACTTGCACATGTCAGATTGGCAAAGAACTTAGATGGGAAAAATTGCAACTCAGCGGCTCTCTGTGGTCAAAGCTTTGTCAAAGCAATTATTTATTCAAATTTTGCTAAGCCAAGAACGCTATCCTCTCCGAACAAACACAAACAGGTTCTCTCAGAAGATCCTTTCTCTGATGGGCTGCTCTAAATCCTTTGTCTTCCAAAGATATTAATAGAAACTTTTTCTTCCTATCTATGAAATGTTACGTGATTAGCTTTAGCCGTGAATGAGCCTGTACTCTCTCGCATATAGCGCACATTGAGACTTGCCGGTACTCACCTCTTCACCTCTTTGTAGCTCCAGCCAAGCAGTTGAGGATAGACTTCATCCGAGGCCATGCGTCCCCGAATTCAGGGTGCAGTGGAAGCTTTTCCACGTCCTTGAATGCGACCCACTTGACCTCGAGAGATTCCCAGTCGCCTTGTGGAACGGAGGGCTCGAATTGCTTCAACACTTCCGCAAACACAGTAGTGTACTTCCAAACCCCGTGGTTCATGAAGGCCTTCTCGCCCAGAATGGCGATCACCGGGTCGAGCCCGCCGGCGCAGTCCTGCGGGAGTCCTACTTCTTCGGACGCCTCACGAAGGGCACCCTGAACCGGGTCCTCGCCTGTGCCCAGGGCGCCGCCCGGGATGCCCCACGTCCCTCCTGCCATCGTATTGTATGATCGATGCTGGAGGACCACATGGGTGAACGGGCGGCTTGCCTTGGTCTCATCCCGGCGGACGAGAAGCAAACCAGCCGCGCCATTAAGCCCGTAGTGATGGTGCTTGCATGTCTGACACCTAATCCACCCCTCCCATGGCTCCAGCAACTGCTTCGCATCATTCTCGCTTGCGCTGGCTGACGACATGGTTATGGTTGGCCTGCACGTTTGGGTAGTCTCCCTCAGAACCGTGAAAAGGTTCAGCCTACCGCCTCAGGTTGAAGAGACCGTTGTTCTGGTGGTGTTTGTTGGTTTTGCGTTTACGAATAAATGCAAAGATCGACTAATTGATTGGGATGATAGGCTCCAGTGCTTATATACTCCATAATGGACTTTAAAGTGTCTACCGGGTTCACTAGTTTCGCTTCTATTCCCCATACGTCCGAAGACATACATCAGATTTACAGTCATGCACAGTACACTACAGTATCATTGTCTGTCCGTCGGATGGTGAAAAACAAAGGCAGAGAATAATGCCTATTCGGCCATGTAAAATCATGAAACAAAATGGAACCCTCTCAATTGTTCAAAATACTCGTCAAAGAGATAGCGGTCCCTTCTCGTATTATCAAGCCCCCTCAGCATGGTTTCACGATTGTTCCAAGCTACAGTGCTGAGCTGGCGTACCTAGTTCCTATCGACTTTCTTCCGCCGCTTTCAACTTCAAAAGTTTCCAAGTAGTAGTCGCCGTTCCATGTCTTCCAATCGGCTCCCCGGGGACAAGATTCATGAAATGTCCCCTGGATGCTCCACATCTCGCTTGCCTTCTTGCAATCTGAATCTTTGTATCTTGCCGCTCGCCGTACGCGGAATGTTAGCAACGAAAATGATGCCGCCCCCCAGGCGTTTGTAGCTCGCAAGCTGTTCTTGCACAGCCCCGTGAATCTCCACTTCTAATTTAGCTTGGTTCTTGCCTTGATCTTTTGAAACAACATAAGCACGTGGTGTTTCTTCCAACCCATCAATGGTTGTAACGCCTACGACGGCGCAGTCCGCGACGTTTTTAAGCTGCATTATCACCGCTTCAAGCTCGGCTGGAGCCACTTGCCACCTGTATAATTCACATCAATGGTCAGTAACGCTTGGGAACAGAGTCAATAATCAGGCCAACCTCCCCGTCATGATTCTGTGAGGATAATTTCATTTGCGCTGGGTTCTTACCCTCGGACCTTTATCATTTCTTTCGACCTTCCAACCAGATACAGCTTTCCATTCGCGACGTACGCTATGTCGCCAGTGTAGAACCAGGCACGAGCATCTCTGCTCATGGGGATTCCGCGATATCCGTCCATGAGGGCTGATGTATGGATGTATAGATCACCGGCTCCCTCGTGCAACGGCGCTTCTGTATCTGTTGATACAGATGTGCCAACAGGCACGATCTTTGGCGCGTATCCGGGCAGGAGGCGTCCGACAGAGCCCGTATCATCATTCTCACCGTAACGGAATAATGTTGCCGGACCGAATTCAGTCATGCCCCATACTTGGGTGACGGTGGCTAGAGGGTCCAAATTAGACCGAAGGGCTCGCAGCGCAGCAACATCGATTGGCGCGCCGCCAATGCCCACGTAACGAAGCGAAGAGAGTAAAGTGGCAAAGCCTGGCTCCAAAGATGCTCTCTTGTTCAGTGTATGAATCATTGGAGGTGCCATGTATGTCTCCGTGATAGCATACTTGTCAATATTCTCAGCATAGTCGCGCATGCTGAAGCGAGGCATGATATACACCGGCTGACCGTATCGGATGGGAGCGATGAAAGTCCAAGCTGCTCCAAAGATGTGGAAGAATGGGAGACAAGCCAGCCGGACCACTGCGTGTGGTAGTGTCTGCTTGTCGTGGAGGCTGAGATGTTGGATGATGAGATTGTAGTGAGAGACCACAGCAAGCTTCGGCAAGCCAGTTGTACCAGAAGTTGTATAATATGCTGCCGGGGTACCTTTCATAGCAATCTCATCGGAAAAGGTGACCCATCTTGATTTTCCTTGTACCAACAAATCGTTCAACAGCCGGACTGAGGTGCGCTCAGAGTTCCGCGGGACGACACCATCGGCTTTTGTTCTGTCCAAGTCTGCGTCTGTCGGAAGTCGTTGAGAAGCATCGACGAGGAACACACAGTCTTGTGTGATAAGATTACCCCTGCAGACATCGAGAACTGTGGGAAGACTATTATTCGCGGTGATCAAAAACCGAGGCTTTGACTGGCGAACAAGATGATCTAGTTCGAGGAAGTGGTAGGCCGGGTTCGCGCCACATACTACGCCTCCGGCGCCAATAGTGGCTAGGAATAGCGGAGCATAGATATACTGCGGGATGACAATTAGCGAGAACATTACAAGTGTGTGTGTGTGTGTGTGTTTGGGTGCCCATTCTGCTATCAGTATGCTCTTACACTGTTCCCGAGGCAAAGGAGCACGACGTCACCAGACTTTAGGCCGGCAGCACGTAAGCCTGAAATGAGTCTCCGGACCAAGGTTTCGGCCTGTGTCGAGCTCAGATGTAGGTCCGGGCTGTCCGCGTCAATATAAAGAGGTGAATCGTGATCGTACTGTGTCTGCCGAGCAAAGACGAACGACAGCAGATCTGTGACAGGGACAATCATAATGTATTGGAATAATTGGGGGGTCCAGATAGCATGTGTTCATCAACAAGGAACTCTCAATCACACGCTTTAGTAAACATGTCCGAAATAATTGAGTCTATATTTCAAGAAGTGGGTACGGTTCGTCTGGGTGTCTGTCGGACATCCTTTGACCACTGCATGTGATGCACGTCAAAAATAGCTGGTTAATCCTGCGGGAACTGCCGCGCAGGTCATTTGCTTCGGGTTATCGTTTCGGTCTTGGGGCTTTTAGCCCAGCAACAACACACCCGGATCTACAGCTGCGTTGGCCAGTGTGTTGCTTTGTTTGGCTTACATGCAGCGGACTAAACGCGGCTCAATTCCTTCCGGGTCGATTCGTAAGCCTCGGGTGTAGACGATGATCACTACAACCGCCACACGGATTTTTTGGGCTGCCCCTCGAGCCCTACTGCCTAGGTAGGAGGCGATGCTCTGCAGTCACTGGCTGTAAAACATCTAGCTGCAACCTTTCTTAACAACACCTTCTTTTATTAGGATGCTCACTGCTTTCACGTGCTTACTGTTCCCAAAGCCACAATCCTGTGCCAATACGCGGCCCGAATGTCCGATGAGAGGTTTTACGATGCCAGATAGAGGAACTTCCTGCCGTCGTTGTGCGCTTGCACCATCAAGTGGTAGATAAGCAGTGTATTCGTGCTTGGATTGAATATTCCGTCGCTGAGTACTTGTCCTCGTCCGTAAGGCCGACCTCTGCGTGCAGCGATCGTCTTTCTGTCGGTTTTCTTTTGGTGCGAGCTGTGAACGAAAAAGCAGTACTACTTATGCCACTAAGCCGGGCATGCTAACCAGTTACCTACCGAGATACGACATTTCGAAATCAATCACTGTTCAAAAGGTCCAAAAGAGATACAGATCACTCAGACCATCAAGCCACCTTGGACCTAAGAGGTGAATCCCACACAGCCACGGAACAGACTTTGATATAATACCACTGAAACAGCACGAGATTATGGATTCCAAACCTGCAGGGGGCCCAACGCACACTTTGAAGTTTACCGGAGAAACCGTGGACAGTATTCCAGAGAAAGGCCACCACGATCGGCACACACGCACAATCCTGTCAACACTCAGGTACACCGTGTTCAACACCTACCGCCGCCTCTTTACCACTGTTCTGATCAGCAACATCACGGCGCTTGTCGTGATTATTGTTAGGAAACGATATGTGCCGGACATCATCAACGCCTGCGCTGCCAATCTGCTGGCGTGCGGACTTGCCCGTCAGCCTCTTGTGGTGAACGCCCTCTACTTCATCTTTGGTCTCGTGCCGCGCTCGGCGCCGCTGAGACTTCGCCATCTCGCTTGCAAGATATTTCATATCGGCGGGGTGCATAGCGGCTGCGGCGTTGCCTCCCTGCTCTGGTATATGGGGTTTGTTGCGTTGTATTCCTACAACTACCACACCGAGCGTTCATCCAGCAAGTCGTCGGGTGCTTTGTCAACAGCTGTCCTTGTGATCTCGTGGGTTATATTCTGGGTCTTTGTTTTCATCATTGCCGTCACGTACCCAGCTTTTCGCACTCGTCACCATAATGTATTCGAGCTCACGCACCGCTTTGGCGGATGGGCCATACTTGCTCTTTTCTGGGCTCTGCTCCTTATGTATGGATCATCTGCACAAGCAGATCTCGGCCATTTTGTTGCAAATTTGCCAGCTTTTTGGTGTCTCCTCGTCGCAACGATCGCTACTATCCATCCCTGGGCCATGCTGCGGCAGGTTCCTGTCGTCACGGAGCCGCTTTCTTCTCATGCAACCCGACTCCACTTAAGCCACACGTCTGTGGTATTCGGGAAGGGTATTACATTGTCACGCCATCCCTTGCGAGACTGGCACAGGTAAGCCCATCCCTTATGCTTCGAGTCCCAGCGGGTGCCATCGGCATTCTCCTAGAACCCGGACTGCTATATCAACCGACACGCTAACAAGTTTGATACAGCTTTGCTACTATTACCGATCGTTTCGACAGCCGCGACACCAAGTTTTCCTGCGTGATCTCTCGAGCAGGCGATTGGACAACAAATGTGATCGAAAACCCGCCTACGAAAATATGGGTGCGCGGAATTCCCATTACTGGATTTGCTTACGCTATGCGTGTTTTCTCCCGCATCATTCTGGTCACGACCGGCAGCGGGATCGGCCCATGCCTGTCCTTCATAGAGGATGAACAACGGCCAGCCATGCGGGTTGCCTGGCAGACTCGAGCTCCACTAGCGACGTATGGACAGCGCACATTAAACCTAGTGGAGCGACTTGATCCCAACCCAATGATCATAGAAACCAAGAAAAAGTCGGGAAGAATTGATATGCTGCCCCTGGTGGAAAGTCTGTATGAGGAATTTGCAGCCGAAGCTGTGTGTATTGTAAGCAACCCTGCGTTGACTCGAAGCTTGGTATTTCAGCTTGAGAGTCGAGGTATTAGAGCATACGGGCCAATCTTTGATAGTTAAAGTGATTGGGTGGAATATGGAAGATGCCTACCACATGAGCTATCAAAGCATACCTACCCTAGGTAGAAAACAAGATCAGCCATCATTGGCCGCTCTATGCAATAGCCACTTTTTGCCCAGAATGTGGGTCATCAAAGAGACCATCTACAGACGAGTATTGTAGTGCATCAAGCAATAATTCGGGTGTGGTCGTTACGTAGTTCAAGTTCGGGAGAAGACATCATGGAGATCCTATTTCAACAATCACTTCTCATGGCTTGTAGCAGACGTGACCGGCGACATTTCTGGGTACCAAGGAAGTGGGACGTCACTTCTTCAATGGTCGGCACAGGTGTAGTTGCGCAATATGGCATCATACAATGGGACCGCACTAGCAATCGAATCACGGCCGTAGAACTGCCGAGCTACTACCATTGGGAGCCTTGGCAGTGGAGTCGCGCGAGTCGACTTGGGGCTGTAGGATGGGTCTCCTAGAGTTGAGCGCGGAGAAACACCCCATGGGGAAACCATACCGACTTCCGGATGGTCTTCAACACCACCGACATCCGAGTCTCTTTCACCATAGTGCTGGGCAGGCCCAGGCACCGGATATGAGCAACAGACATCAGGACCTATATTAAGGGCTACTAATCATGGCTCTTCCAAAATTTCGCAAGGCGGACGCATCCCTTGGCAACTCCCCGTGCGTTCTGTTGCTCGCGAGCGCTTGTCGTTCAAGATGGTCGCCCTCACGTCAATGCCGAACATCATCTTTATGATGGCTGATGACCATGCGGTGAGTGCTAAATCCGAAAAGAAGAACCTCGTACGTGAAATGACAGCCGATGTTGACTTGCCCGGTCTTAGGCCAAATCCATATCGGCTTATGGCCATGGCATCAATCATACCCCTAACATTGATCGCATTGCGAATGAGGGCGCTCGTTTCGATCATTGCTATGTGACCAACTCAATTTGCACGCCTAGTCGTGCTGCCATAGTGACTGGCATGCACAGCCACGCCAATGGTGTCTTCACCTTGGACGATACCTTGAATAATAAGATGCCCAACGTTGCAAAGTCCATGCGTATGGCTGGGTACCAGACAGCCATGATCGGGAAGTGGCATCTCGGTGAAGGCGAGGAGCATCAGCCTACCGGATTCGACTACTGGTCTGTAGTACCCGGACAAGGAGACTACTGGGATCCTATCTTCATCGACAATGGAAATCAGACCCAGTATGAGGGCTACGCCGTCGACATTGTGACGGACAAGGCCATCACGTGGCTCGAACAGAGGAATGAATCCCAACCGTTCGTAACAAACGCTTCATTTGGTCCACATGTGGGCTGTAGCTGACGTTACCCCAGGTTCTTCCTCATGTACCACCAGAAGGCTCCTCACAGGAGCTGGGAGTGGCACCCGAGATATGCGGACTACTACAATGATCCTATCCAGCTGCCCGACACATTCACAGATGACTACAAGAACCGGGCCAATGCAGCGTCTTCAACAGAGATGCGTGTTGCCGATGACATGACATACTTCGATCTGGGCCTCGTACAGCCTGAGGGTGGCCATGACGTCGGGGAGCTGTTCTACCCTGGTTTCTCGACCCAGCGCAAGGTTCCCAACCCAAGCAATATTACGGCACTTCAGGCGCTTCGTCTCACCGACTCGAGCACGGGCGAGGTATTCAAATTTCAGAACCAGACGGAGCTTGCCAACTTCAAGTTCCAGAGGTACATGCAGCGCTACCTGCGCGTGGTCCAATCTGTCGACGACAATGTTGGGCGCATGCTGGACTGGCTTGACGAGAAGGGGCTTGCAAACAACACTCTGGTGATGTACACTTCGGTATGAATGTGGCGCCCTGCCAAAATTCAGTCCGGGCCACTAATCAATTTCTTTTAGGACCAAGGAATGTTCCTCGGTGACCACGGCTGGTTTGACAAACGCTTTATTTACGAGGAATCCTTCCAAATGCCCCTGGTCGCGCGCTATCCTCCGGAGATCAAAGCAGGCAGCGTCATCAAGGATATCGTACAGAACGTCGATTTTGCCGCAACCATGTTGGATGTGGCAGGGGTCCCGGTGCCGACTTACATGCAGGGCAAATCGTTCCGAAAGGTGCTGCAAGGCGAAACGCCTGAGGACTGGGACCAGCTGGCATACCACAGATACTGGATGCACCGGGACCCGATCCACAACGCATATGCACACTACGGCGTGAGAGACACACGGTACAAACTGATCTACTGGTACGTGCAGTGCGGGGCTTGCCTTGGATATCGTTTGCCAAACGGCCGACTGACCCTTGAAACGCAGGTACAACGAGGGCTTTGGCCTCCCAGGCACGTCCCTCGGCGGGGAGGAGAAGCAGTGGGAGCTCTTCGATACCCAGGAGGACCCTATGGAGCTTTTCAACGTCTTTAATGAGCCCGAGTATGCGAGCGTCGTGACGGAGATGATGCGGAAGCTGGAGAGGAAGATGACGGACATTGGCGACGAGTGGGTCCATGATCCCGACCTTGCAGTTGCTTCGAACGCCACCGCCACCCCGTCTTTGGAATTGAGGCGGGCGAAGCTAAGCGCTGTGAATCACTGAGCTCCATGACAGACACCCGATTTCGTTTGCCGGCGTCTGCTGCAGCGATGATGTACATATGTCTCAAAATTGTGATCCCCCAGGCAGGTGGGAAGGGGGGGACATGGCCAGCGAACTGGTCCTTCGTCAGCTTGAAATTTGCCGGCCTACGCGCATAAGACTTAATGATTAGTTCCCAGACGCTGGTATCTGGCTCTTTGGTGAAGAATTTTCCAGCATGAAAACGACGAGTCAGCACTCGAGTCCAAACTCTCCATCAGGAATGCAGCTCCTGCGTGCCCCAGGGCGGGCAACAAGCCGTCGCCAGTAGCGACTGGGCCGTAGAAATATCACATGATCACGCGATTGAACCTTGTCAGCGATTGGAATTCTGGGAGCAGCGTCGGTTACGAGTTACGGGAAGCTGACACGCAAATCACAACGACGAAAAGACGGTTGCAGGCAGGATGGTCAGATTCTGTGTTGATACGCTGTGCCTAGACCGTGATCCAGGCATAACAAACGTGCCCCTCGCTACGCTCAAGCATGTGAGCCCACCTCAGGACTACCGAAAACCCCTCCCTGATCCTGTCACCTTGTGGTTGTTTGGCGTCGCTTCCCATGCTTACTCGATGGAGGCAAGGTACTCCTCCTCGGTCAGAAAGACTCGGATGGTGGACTTCTTCTTCTGATCGGCGCAGCAGGTGCTGAACTGTGATCGGCAGTGTTAGTGACGTTCTGCAGCGTTGCTGTACCTGCTCGAAGCACACGTTCGACACGCATGCCCCGATGAATGCTTCCTGTGGAGCACTTACAATTCGGTGGCCGCAATCGCCGTCATCTCCACCGCACGTCCAATTCGGGAGGCAGACACGGCAGCCCGGCATGCACTGTTTGTTTATTTGTTAGAGCCGCTCGCCTTGCAGAGTTTTGTGCTAAAATTCGGACATCAAATTGGCATGATGATCAGACACGGATGGGAACACATACGCAGTAGTACTCGGCTGCAGCCGATCCAGCGAGGCCGAGGCCGAGGAGGACGAGGTTGATCTGGAGTCTCATATTGATGGGAGAACGTGGACGTTGATGTCAGAGTGTGCACTTTGGCGTGGGGTGGTCGATTTTTGTGTTGATTGAGAGAGTTGTTATGGAAAGGTGGCGGCTCGTAAAAATTTTGGATTGTGCAGGACTTAAAAAGACGCTCGCGGGAGACCAAGTTTCGTCCCAGTGAATGGTAGGGAGGTGAAGGAGTTGGGTGAAGGTTGCGATAAGCCTCCCCCCGACGACATCGGAACTGGACAAGCTCCACCTGATCGAGCTGACTGCTAACTGCTTTGTGTCCGTTTGTTTACAGCAAACTGAGTTGACCTTCCCGATGCTAACTGACCTCCTGGGTGCTCCGGTGGTGCCATATCAGCAACCAAACGAGCGCCTGACTTTCAGCAAACGAGGCCAACGGACCTCCGTTAAGCCCCCAACACAACCCAACAAATGGCCAGCCCTCAACATGGCTTCAGTGACTCAATATTCGTCTCTATCAGGCAATAAAACCCGTATGATTATGATTGTGAATTAGAAAGCCTTCCTAGCGGAGGACATCATGAGAGAATCTAAAGGAACCAGCAAGTTTCGAATCAGTGTTCTCGGTTCAAACGCTCCCAGCGCCGGTTGATGGACTCGCCGTCGCCTTCCGGGGAAATTCGTTCATACTTTTCATTGACCGCCGCATTGCCATTCACATAAAACTTTAATTGCTTCAAGGAAAAGTCGTACACAGCTCGCAGTAGCGGGCACATTGAATTCTATTCGAATCATGGTTTAACTACTTATTAAACAGGGGTCGAAGTTGCACCTTTCCGAGAGCCTCTTACAGCCAGAGCTCTACACAAATGACCCAGCCATGAAGAGTCATGAGGTAGGACAATATTACCATTGAAATTATCAGTACAAGACTGATCTGGCATATTTTCACTGGAATCAACTTGTCACTATTGGTAAACTGCAAAACAATCATCTAAAGATTTCTCGCCACATAAACCTTTATGTGTGGGGACTAAAATGAACTTTAGAAACCACTCTAAACTCACTGGGACACATATCCAACGTCGACAGCGTCCAGTCCACCCATGATATCGGCCTGAACATCATTCTTATCCCCATCGGATACTTATCATACACGGGAATCGTCGACAGGAGTTCCGGTCCCTTTGCTGATGCCGACAAGATGCTGCCCTATCTGGATGCGGTCGTCAAGAATGCTGCTGACCTTGGTATGTGCGTCATCATCAACTTGCACAGTGCCCCTCGCGGCCCGTAGCAAGATTCTTTTACGGGCCAGAACAACCTGCCCGCGGGGTTCTACAACGACTTCAACTTTGGGCGTGCAGAGGAATGGATGTCGTAGATGACGAAGCGCATCCCCTCTCACCCTGCATACTCCACCGTGGGTATGATCCAGGTTCTCAATGACCCCGTCTCAGACTATGATGATAATGGCAACTCAAACCCTGCGCCAGTCCAACACCCCAGGCTTGTGCAAAAATATTTACCTGATGTACTGAAGGCTGTTCGCGACGCAGAGACTTCACTCAATGTTCCTGATGTCATGAAAGTCCACGTGCAATTTACCTAGGTATGTCTAGCAAGTGGGGCTCTGGTAACCCTCGCGACAACTCTGACCCGAGGAAAAAGGGAAGAAAAGGGCCCGGGAGGTGTAGCCTCCAGATAAATTTGACCCTTCTGATTAGAAGAGACAGAATGTGAGTATCGAAGAAGGCGAAAAGTTGGTTATTGAGTGGAGAAATCCACAATGCAACGCACTGGAACGACCTATTCATAGACCTCCATGGAGGAAACCCCTACCACTGGCACACTGCCCAACTAAGAAAGGCTACTCTCCGCCCTTGGGACAGAAGGCGTAGATGTGGTAGCCTATCGATAACAAGTGGTTTCGTTTTTAATCCCCATAATACATATAAAATGTATGTGGCGCCTTCATACAGTGGTAAACGCTCACGACCTATCGACAATAAGCGTCCACTGTCCTGCACCCCTTGCCCGTCTCATTGTTGATCGTCAGCCCTCAGAAATGTCTTTTCCCTGCGTTCAACCGCCTATTCGTTACAGCCAATAGTCAGTCCGACATGTCGCCGATAGAATCCTTTTACTCGTAGACAAAGCCGAGGACATGGCTTTTCAACTGCGGGCACTGCCTCGCCACGAAGAACATGAGAGATATTAACTCGTCAATTCTTTTGTGAGCTTCGACAGAGTTCCGGAGGGAAGCAAGCCTGTGGCGGTGAGAAATTGTCCCGGTCAAGATGCCTGAGACATAAGCCTTCTTGACATTTGAAAACCTGTCCCAGTCCAAGTTCTCCGTCTCAATCGCGAAATCCCCGTCCTGGCAAATCAGGTCCTTGCTGGACATAGTGAAACCTAACATTCCGATGTCATCTTCTGATAAATACTGGGAGTCGTCGAGTCGAAAAGACAATTGTGAGAGAGAGGTAAGGCTGCTGGTTTGCATGTCGCCCTTGGCTATTAGGGCGGGAGCAGTGGCGAAGGAGTGCAACATCTGCCAGACATGTTTGAAAGGGTCATGGCTACCATGTAAAATCTCATCAAGAACGGAAGGCATTCGGATGATGATGAAGAAATCATGGTTTCCATAGAAAATCGGCAAGGTCTCCTTGCGTATCTGCTTGTTGACACGCGTGATTGGTGCCTGCCGCAAGTTGGGAAATGTCAAGGGATCCAACATTCTCTCCGAGTCAGGGGTTTCGTAAATGCAGGAATGTTGATAGACCATGTTGCGGACCTCGGGGGCCAGTTGAAGGAAGGGGGATGGTTTCTGGAATCGAAAAACACTGTCAGCTCTATTGACGGTCGCATGGCTCAACATTGGGGTAATAATTCATACCACGCTCGCAGCTCGGCTGTTCGATGTCTCGGCGATCATGGCAGCTTCGTTAGAAGAAAGATTCTAGGAAAGGCTATTAGCACGGCAACTGAGAGCAAGAGACCATCGCGACCGACCTCGAGTGCTGTCTCAAGGACCCTGTATTCCTCCTCACCAGCTTTGGTTGGGCGCGTGTTGTCTTCCGCTTCGCCGGCGGTCTCGTCCTCCATGTTTTCGAATGGCAAAGGGGAATTCAGGTTGCAGGTGGAGTTTCAAAAAAGAAAAGGTTTTGGGCTGCAAATGTAAATCCAGTGAAATAAGTGAGAGAAGGAAAGACTGGCAGACAGGGGGGGACTGATAAAAGTGTGGCCGCTGAAAGAAATTTCTGTTTGTCGTCCTGCAGTTTCGAGTTTCAGCAGCCTTTGTTCCAAGGCTGGCAAGTTTTCACACCCGCCACTTCATGCGCCTCCACTGATACCAAGGATTTCATCTCAGCACTTACGGTCTGGGACTTGAAAAGAGATGCGTTTGCATGCTTCTCTGAAAGGAAATGCCGGGCTACTTATTAAGACATACCTTGATATCTAGATTGATTTTAGTGACCACTTCTAGACGGACCCTGAAGGCTCTGCTCCGTTGAGTACGCCAGCTGCCAGGACACTGTCAGGCTGAGTTATAGTGGGAGAAGATGGTTTTCACGCTGAAGCATATAAATACAATACCTACACAATCGAGGTTGAGATGCCCTGTGTCCTGACATCGGATAGGGGGGTTTTCTGGGTATGTTGTGCAAGTATATTCTATTGCTATCTTGACCTGTGTAAGTGATCACTTGATAATGATCGCCTGTCTTCCGACTTTGCTGAAAGGCTCCTTGCCTGCCCGAGCCTTTCCAATCAAGACATAGCCCACGCGATGGTACGTGCCTTTGGTTTCCGTTTCCAACAGAAGCAAACCATGCCCAAAATCCTGCTCATTTGGCGTCACCACCATCAGAAGCCAAATATTTCTCCGAAGAGATATCTGACTGTTGCCGTCATCAGTCTTTCCGTCGCCCTCGCTCCCGTCGCCCTCGCTCCCATAACCAGAGCTCCCGTCGTCAGTGCTCCTCTCGTCAGAGCTCCCGTCATCAGCCCTCACATCGTCAGCATTCCCATCACCATTGCTCCCGTCGCCAGTACTCGTGTCGCCATCACTCCTCTCGTCGGCGTTCCCATCATTAACCTTTACATCATCAGCATTCCCGTCGCCATTGCTCCCGTCGCCAGTACTCGTGTCGCCATCACTCCTCTCGTCGGCGTTCCCATCATTAACCTTTACATCATCAGCATTCCCGTCGCCATTGCTCCCGTCGCCAGTACTCGTGTCGCCATCACTCCTCTCGTCGGCGTTCCCATCATTAACCTTTACATCATCAGCATTCCCGTCGCCATTGCTCCCGTCGTCAGACTTCCCGTCATCAGTATCCCCGTCGCTAGTACCCACTGGCATTTTCTCTTCCCCGTGGTCCCAAAACCAGAGCAAGCGTCTCAGTTCATCATCATTCGATGGGAGGTCTTCCTCTCGAAATGGGTCAAAATCCCAGCCGATCTCAGCCCACCCTAGATTGACCTGATCGGACCCATCCGCCTTTGGCATTGACCGAGGAATCGGGATTAGCTTCCCCCGCAGCTTGATCAAGTTTTTTGTTTCGTCAACATCCAGGTCCTGGATATCTACGGCGAGTGTTGTGTTCTTGCGAGTCCCGTAACGGTTCAGAGGCCACCAAACACGTGCATTCGTCCGCAAAAAGCTCCACGAAGGCATCTTATTGTTTAAAAACCCTTCGACATCTTTGTGTGATATTTTCCAGAGCAGACCGAACGCCAGGTCCCCTTTCCACAGACCACAAACCATTGTGTCTTCATGGCCACGGGCTTTTGTCGCGGTTTCGACGGCTCTTGTCGCGCCTCTGAAAACTTGCGTCAGACCCAGAATGCCTGGAATGCGGTCGTTTGTGTTTGTCATGAGTCTTCGCTTGTAATCTTCCATGATCCTGTACCAAAGGTCGTAGGGATCGTCAAGGGGCATGTCCTTGCGGAGGATAAATTGCGAAGAAGAAGGCAGCAGAAGACTGTAGTGCCGCGCCAGCAACTTAACACGGTCCTCATCTTGGGGCTCCTCACTCAACTGCGCCTCAAGACACTGCCAGTGCATCTGCGCCTCCCCGAAGTGTAGGATTCGGCGAGACAGACAGCGTTCCTGAAGACACCATCCGCGTGTGGCCAGTGAGCCCAAATCCACGTCGAAAAGTCTATCCAGCCCAGATTCTGGGCCTGTCATTCCTACTTCAGCTTCGGCATTGGGAGATCCTGCGCCTTGTGCGTTCTGAACGTCGGCGCCGAAGTCAGGATCATCGGGCGATCGTGAGAGCGCTGCCACGGCTATTGACTGGAAGGTCTCATCCACCAGTTTGCCTAGCCTGTCAATTCTGAGTTCTGGACCCCTCACTCTGGGGCGACATATGTTCGTGATGATTTCATCGTCTGGGGACTCAGAGACCGAAGCCGAGATTGTCAAGTAAGCGTTGGAGTATACATCGGCCATCTTTGATGCCTCTTGGCGCCAGTCCTTTCTGTCATCTTGAATGATACAAAGGGCATCAATCCAGAAGTAGTAGATCCCTACGTCCCTGAGCAGAGTGATACTCTCGCGGTATAGAGCATTGAGGCTGCTGAATTCGATCCGCGACTTGTATTCGCCAATCCTTTCCGTCTTCAAGGCTGTTTTGAGGACAGACTTCTCTGGAAAAGCACCCCAACGGTATGTGAGCGCTGCATATTGGCCAGAGTTGTCTTTACCATCGACTAGACGCACGTCTTTGGTGCCATCTTTAAGATTAAGGTCCAGGACACGGGTTGGTAGTGGCGGGTTTGGCGAATCTGTCGGCCACTTGCATTGGGTGTGATTGTCGAGGCAATCCTTTGTCCAGACATTAATTTGAGCAAGAATGCGGTCGCGGTATATTGCATCCATATCTTGATCAGCTGGTTGCAATATCGTGAACGTATGCAATCATCAGAATGTGTGGGATTGGATGTGTAGATCCTGCGGTATCTGAAAGACCGAGAGACGAGACAAAGAGCGAGAGGAAGGGACAGGCGAGAGAAGAGGAGAGAATGAGGAGGGGAAACTGAGAGCAAACAAGATGACTAGACAAAACGAGGCAGGATCTCAGGTCGTACAGCAGAAACGTGGGGCCTCAGTGCTGGGGGGGGGGGCTATTACGATTCGTCAGATGCATCAACAGAATAATCTCCCATGCACATGCAACTACCTGGGTGTGCGAGTGTGTGGGAATCAATCGTTTGGCCAGAAATCCTCAGTCCCTCAAGTAGTTTTATTTCCAAACCTTATATATATAAAAATATATATAATTTATATATATATACAAGGTAAAAATTATAAATATATAATATATTATAATTATTATCTTTAATATTATATATCTTTAAATATTAAACTTTTAATATTTTATTTTATATAATAATATTTCTTTATAAACTTTATAGAAATTAAACTATTTTTATAATACTTATTATTCTATTTATACTTAGTATAGTAGAGATCTAGGCCCTAGTAAAAGTATTATTTTAGTTAGAAAGATTGTCTAGATGGGGGGGGGTGGGGGCAGCACTTGAGATGTACCGTAACTAACAGAGCCGAGCTACTTCAGTAGCAGAGGCAGCAAAGCTGACATTAGAGGTTGCCTGGTGACGTGGCGGGTTCTTATCTTACCCCGCCTCCTCAACACACCACTGTCTCTGAAAAACGAGAGTTGCCCCCCCCCCTGTTTTATAACCCCTGTCAAAATTTTTAAAGGTTTATTAAAAAGTAGTCTTCTTTTAATAACTTTATTACTACTTAACCTAAAAATATATAAAAAATATATTTATAATCCTTATTAAAACTTCTATATAATAATATTTTTTAAATATTTATTATTAAATCTTTCTTATATAAGGTATAAAGGTTATTAGGTTGATAAGATAAGTAAGTGCACGGACCTACTAAGTAGTTTAACCTACAACTCTAGAAATATATAAACTTTAAATAAAAATTATTTTAAAAATTATTTTTTATAAAGACTTTTATAAGGATTATAAATATACTTTTTATATATTTTTAAGTAAAGTATTAATAGAGTTATTAAAAGAAGACTACTTTTTAATAAACGTTTAAAATTTTTAACAGGGGTAATAAAACAGGGGGGGGGCAACTCTCGTTTTTCTGAGACAGCAGAACATGGGCAATAAGGACCTCATTCCGTGATTGATACTTTCTCTATTCAAGCTTCTAAGTATCCATCACGATTCCAAGGAACTACCCACCCCGGGCCAGGAACCATGAGTGCACCAAAGCAGTTCGGCTTCCGAATCCCACAATTCCGCCAAGGCCTTTCGTTGCAGCCTAGTCATGATCCGCGGATTTGCGATTGTAATTGCAGCCAAATCACAAGGACGGTCTACTGGCATATTTGCCTGTATTGTGACTTTACTATGTGCGACAAATGCTTCGAAAACCGGCAGGTTCGAAACCCGGGCCATTCGATTGGTCGAAGGATCCGCGCATGCGAGGACGGCTTGGCCTCTTCCGATCCTGCTGGACAGAATCTGTTCAGTGCACTACCGGATCTAGCAGATCAGACTAATGACCAGGACAGGCGGCCCTGTTGTCCTACATGCTTCAATTATACACCGGATTTTATTGATCCGAGTTGGATCGGACATCCCGGTAGTCCAACCCCGTGGTACTCGAATCGGGAGCCATTTGTGTCTGAATTCAAAGAGTCAGCAGCCAGGGGGTGTGATCTATGCTCTATTGTCTATCGTGGGTTGTCGAAGATCATCCCGGACGCTATGACGGTTGATACCCTCATCCGCCTTGAAGTTTGGAGGGAGAAGATTTGGGCCAAGGTGTTCAAGCGGGAATCCACGTTCGAAGACTCCCATTTCATAGAGTTTCGTGCCATGAGAGGCCATGCCCCTAGATGGAGTACAATGGAGATAGTGGAAGCACTCGGTGCTAGTCTTCGTGACCCTGGATGCTTTGATCGGATACGAAAGTGGCTGAAAGATTGCGAGACAGTCCACAACCACCCAAGATGCAAGCAAGGGGCAGACACCAGACTTCCTCGCCGCGTGGTGACGATCCAACCGACCTCAGAGGGCCCAAAGCTTTATCTCAACGATACAAACGGGGAGACTGGAAAATACATTGCTCTCAGTCACTGCTGGGGTGGTTTCACTGGATGCCGGTTGACCACCGTGAATCTAGCCGAAAGAGTTCGGGGTATTGAGTACGACAGCCTTCCGCAAACATTTCAAGATGCTGTATATTGTGCGCTACAACTTGAGATTGATCATATCTGGATCGACTCGTTGTGCATCATCCAGGACGACTTGAAGGATTGGGAACAGGAGTCCGCCAAAATGTCTCACATATACTCGGACGCCTACTTGGTACTAGCCGCTGCGTCGGCCGATGCAGATGACAAGGGCTTTTTCACGCAACCACGCGGTATTTACCGAGGGTTGGGCTTGGAGTCACGCGTGGGAAGCGGCGAAAAAGACTTGGTGATGCATACATTTATGCCACATCCGAAATCTCGAGCCAGTGCGAGGCCATTGAGTCCGATCGACTTCGGACCACTTGGTACAAGAGCATGGACTTTGCAAGAAACTCTTCTTGCTCGGCGGTGCGTCGGATTCAACGAGAACGAGATCGCTTGGGAGTGTCGCAGCTTCATCGACTGTGAGTGTCACGAGGCATCCCGGGCATTCCGAGCGGGTCGATCAGAGTGGTCATATGGCCAGAGTCGACGTCACACAAGGCCCCTGACTCACCTACAAGATATCTCAAAAACTTACTGGGAGTGGCGTATGATGATTGTACCGAACTATACCCGAAGGAGGCTTACAATGACAAGCGATAAACTCCCCGCGGTATCAGCACTGGCTCATATCATCGCGGAAGCTTCTGGCGACGAATATATTGCCGGCATCTGGCGGGGTGATATCATGTATGGTCTGGCTTGGATGGCCGCAGGATCTAGCAGACGGACGGAAACCGCACACTCTCCACACAACCCTCCTCACCCATCATTCTCATGGGCATCTGTAGATGGACCTATCGAATACCTCTGGCCGACAAATACAATGGAAGACGATAGCTCTTCTACCGGATCTTTTGGGGTCAGCCTCCTGGAATAGAATGTGTCTCTGTCAAGTGCGAATCCCTTCGGAGCTGTTGACGGCGGTTGGATAAGGCTCTCTGCCCTCGCACACAGTTTCTCCCTTGCTTGGGAGGCGACTCAACAACAGTACTGGCTGACAGATGAGACTTATTCCTTACGGCATTCGCTTGAATTCTTTCCAGACACTATGCTTCGCGAGATCATGGTTCAAGAATCTAGCGGCGAGCGCAGTGTCTTTATACAGCGGGTTTCATCGGGGGACGACATGGACAATTGGGTTCCAGCGAGCGTTGAAGGGATATTGATTTTGGATATGCGTGGAACGGTGGCCCGTGTTCAATCCGAACTTGGACACGCCGTTCCCGGTCATTTAGTTGCCATAATGATGCTGAGTCCATCGTCCGAGAGCCAGGGGCAGTTTCAACGGATCGGCTTAGCCATAGCGGCATTTGAGGCTGGTGGGGATGCTGTCCAGGGATGGCTCGATACTGCCAAGCGGAGGGAGTTTGTCATCATCTGACGACGTTGCCCTGAAATTGCCAGCCTATCACTGCCAAAAGCTCCACTTACATAGGAACTGAGTTTGTAAAAGTCCGAGAAGACCCGGATAAATTTTAGCTCTATACAGTCCCGTGCCAGAGGGGGTCCCGCGATACTTCGAGCTCGGCGGGCCAGTCCATCTCAAGGTTGACAGCAGCGCTGGTGCCAACAAGCCGCAGAGCATGTGCAGGCCCAGCTCAACGCTATGGCTTATAACCCAGAATGCTAGAACTAAGCTACTCAGTGGTGTACATTACGAATTGTGGATTGGAAAGTCACTGTTCAAAGCCTTGGATAGCAAGCCGCACTGCCCGGCCCAAAAGGCACCCATTGCTCTTGTCCAAATCGATCGTTGATTGTCTTGTTCCAGCTTAGAAGAGAAACCAAAGAATGCAAATAGTCATACTGCTGGTTTCGCATCTATTCCGTATATGTGAGGACATAGATGGCGCCTTCATACGTAAGCGCTCAAGACCCAGCACCTGAAAAAGATACGATATCGATAACTATAATTAAAGTACGATGGGTGCTTATAGCCTTAGCCTTGCGACGCACAGACAAGGCTAATAATAAGGGGCACCGTCTTGACGGCGGCATTGACTAGAACGCCGCAAAAGGAGTCATAGCAAATGGTCATACAGTGCCAGAAATATCTGGATCTGACGGTTACCTATTTGTTAAGGTCATTCGTAGGCCTTTGAGTCGAGAGACACCTGTTTGGACATCCTCAACTGATGATTAACGGGACCAAAGTGAGCAACGGCAGATGAGGCTATCGATCAGTACCTTTGAAGACTGAAGAGGCGGCTGAGAAGACATGACTTCAGGATGTTAGAGCTGGACAACGGGGAGCATCGAGGATTACAAAAATGCCAGTAGATTACCTGGGTTCAGAAGTAGCCAGCAGTGAGCACTTCGTCGCTGTAATCCGTACTCATTCTCAGTCCCACTTAAATGGACACTGCACTTCAAGCATGAGTCAGGGTCTGCTGGCCGAATTAGATGGTCGTGAGATGCCTAATTGGGAAACTCACGAGCCACTCCTCGATGCACGTAGGTGGCAGGGGTCACAAACTTGGACTAGCTTACAGGTCCGGAACAGGGCCCGTTACACCGGGCAAACACCCCGTACTCTGCCCAGTACTTAAGTACCTAGGTAAGCAATCAGAACCACGGCTGTCCTGCGCTGACCTACTTAAGCACCAGGCTTTCCGTTGTCACCCCTCCATGCTGACACGACGAGCACTCATTTTGTCGACACTTTCTCAACCCATTCCGAGCACTGGCAAGGGAGCACACTCGAGAGCAGCACTGATACACTGAGTACGTTGAGGCTGTCGAGGCGTCAAGTCGTCGAGACTCTTGACTATCGCCTGTTGTCCACCCGTCAGTTCGTCCTCGATGATGGTCCGAAGTCCATCTCAGTAAATCGATTCTTGAGTAACATTCATCACACAAACATGAACATGGATATTGATAGCGGCGCCGGCACAACATCTCGTACGACTGAGCCAGTGTCAGTGAGCTCCCGCCACGCTGATAACACGATACGCGCCATTCAGCGCAAGGCCCCGTCTTCCGTGATTGACTTTAGCATTCAGATCATGGAGGACGGGACCCAGGTCAGCACTACAGACCGCGTCTGCAAAGGTAAGTGACAAAGTTGAACGCCACTATACTCATGCCGTAGTCACCGTTCCCAGAGTACCCGCAATCCCACCCTTTGCCTTGCTCTTCTCTCATTTAATTCTCAGGGTGAACTCCAGGTATACTCACTGAAGCTCGAATTTTGTTTACTGATCATTTCCCACGTTCTCGCAGATGTGCCTCCTCCGGCGTGGCTGCCCCCTACAGACGAGGAATTCTACCATGACGAGACACATGAGAAGCCTAATATCCAGTTCCTCAAACAGCACTTCTCTCAAGAAGGGCGCCTTACAGAAGACCAGGCTCTATTCATTATCAACAAAGGCACAGAGATCCTCCATGCCGAACCAACCCTATTGGAAGTAGATGCGCCTATTACTATCTGTGGCGACATCCATGGCCAATACTACGACTTGATGAAGCTCTTCGACGTTGGGGGTGATCCAGCTGCTGGGACAAAATACCTTTTCCTAGGCGACTATGTCGACCGTGGCTACTTCGGCATTGAATGTCTGCTGTATCTATGGGCGTTAAAGATTCAATACCCCAACTCGATATGGCTACTGCGCGGTAACCACGAATGTCGGCACCTGACTGAGTATTTTACATTCAAGCTTGAATGTAGGCGCAAGTACTCTAGCGTTGTCTATGAGGCTTGTATCAGGTCCTTCCAATCACTCCCACTGGCAGCCATTATGAACAGGCAGTTCCTATGTCTGCATGGCGGCCTCAGCCCTGAGCTGCACTCACTAGATGACCTTCGGAATGTTCGTCGTCTCTGCCGTAAATGGGAGGTTCTATAGCTAACTTACACAACAGATCGATCGCTTCCGAGAGCCGCCTACACAAGGGTTGATGTGCGATATCCTCTGGGCCGACCCACTCGAAGACTTCGGCCAAGAACAAACGAACGATTATTTCCGCCACAACAACGTGCGCGGCTGCTCATACTTCTTCTCGTATGCCGCAACCTGCAATTTCCTAGAACGGCACAATCTCCTCTCTGTTATCCGAGCACACGAGGCGCAAGATGCCGGTTACCGGATGTACCGCAGATCCCAGACAACCGGGTTTCCCAGCTTGATCACTCTCTTCTCGGCCCCGAACTACATCGACATGTATGACAACAAGGCAGCAGTCCTCAAATACGAGAATAACGTTATGAATATCCGCCAGTTCAACTGTTCACCTCACCCTTACTGGCTGCCTAACATGATGGATGTTTTCACTTGGTCGCTACCATTCATTGGTGAGAAGACCGTGGACATGTTGATGGCTATCTTAGGAGTGTGCTCTGAGAAGGAGCTCCAGGAAGGCTCTACCACTGGGTCCTCACCTTCACCGCCTAGCCCGATTGACAACGACTCGATGTATGCTAAGCGCGTAGCCATCAAAAAGAAAATCCTCGCCGTTGGACGACTTTCGCGCATGCTGAACGTCCTACGGGAGGAGTCAGAGAGGGTCACCGAGCTCAAGACCGTTGCAGGTGGCCGTTTACCGGCGGGGACTCTGATCCTTGGGGCCGACGGCATCAAGGATGCGGCTAGGAGCTTTGAGGATGCTCGCAAGGCTGACTTGCAGAATGAGAGGCTGCCTCCCAGCCACGACGAGGTAGTGAGGCAGACAGAAGAGGAACGCCTCCAGGCTCTACGGCGCGCGGCACAAGAGGCTGAAGGCGACGTGGTGCTACAAACCCTGTCGAAGAGATTGAGCGTGTGAGTAAAATACGATGCTGTTTTCTCTTTTCTTTGCTCCTTCGATATTGGAAAAGGATTGTTCTGATTGGTCCATACGTCAGCAGTGATCGGAAGATGTAGGTGGCACTTGTGGATTGTTCAGTTCCATGGAGAGATCGAGCATTGCACAATCATGGACGAGCGCTATTGACGCATGAAAGCGGTTATTTAAGCTTGTTCATTCGAGAATATCGCATTCTGGGGCATGATCTTCCGTAGACCATGCTATCTCACCCTGGCAAAGCATTCAAGATGGTCTTAGAATCCCTACAAAGTTGTCTGAGAAGTTCCTCCATAATCTTACTCTCTAGTTCTTTTACCAAGCATTTCTCACAGAAGCTCTTATTAGAAGATGCACCCAGTCGCATTCCATCTCGTCAGCTTCACACGTGGAATTTTCCACATCTGTTGAGAGTGTCCGCGTAAACAACTTACGAAGTTTCTGAGATTTGAATTAAAGCCCATGCATCCAGTGGGCTTCTTGGTCAAGTGTTGGTCGATAAAAGGGCCGAGACATATAGGTCATTCCTACATGTCAAATGTAGCTTGGATCCCCATTCATTGTCCTTGTGAGACCAGCGTTGACGACACGAGATTGGGATTGCTCGGCTGTCTTGTGTGACATCTGGAGACCCCAGACCTTATCCACAGTGCGGTATGGTATGCGAACATAATGATTTAACTCCCAAAGTCTCGAGGGTCAGGCGTTTAGGACTTTAGGAATCTGTTATAGCGGAAAGTTGGCAAATTACTATGCATCCCCTCATGACAGAATGTCGTTGCAAGGCTTTTGGCGGACCGGTAAAACGCAATGAGCTCCGAGAGCCGAGCGCCGCAGCTGGCACAAGCCGAGCCCCGCTCTCACCGTCTGACCTTTCTACCCTCTCTCACGCACAAGAGTCGTCTGAGACACTGTGGGACCAACCATCCCCGTGGATCTTATCTGATCGAGACCAAGAGAACTCGGATCTCGTCTCGTACACCCACACCTGACACATTGGGCTCTGGATCCACAGTACTTGAGCATGGAGCGGCCGCAGTCCTCATCATCAGCCTCGGCGCTCGGCGCTCCAGGACGTCGCCGCAACGGACGACTGCAAGCTTGTGAGCCCTGTCGCAAGCGCAAGGTCTCCTGCGACCATTTGTTCCCTGCTTGTCGTCGATGTAGGGCTCGCAATAATCCCGGTGGCTGCGTTTATCTCGGCGTTGAGGAGCCCAACCGAAAGTCAGCCCAGGCCCGTCCAAGGGGCACGGTCAGACCCGCCAGGTGAGCAACATGTAGTCACCGCAATGATGCTCTGAAGTGATATTGACCATGGGATGGCTACCAGTACACGGCCATCCCCCGGATCTAACAGTTCCCCAAGTATCCACGTACTGTCGGACTCGCCCGATTCGAGAAACCATGCGTCGGAGACTGGTCCAGGCTACCTCGGCTTCACCAGCTTTTCTGCCGTTTACCAAGAGACACAGAACAGCCTGTCCCTCGTCAAAGGCCCTTTTGTGGGAATATCCTCAGCCCTAACGACTAGCCCACCGGTTTCAACAACCCACAATGGCGACACAGGCACCACCACGATCGTCCTGTCTCCGCGATCACTCGAGACCAGCCTGCTTGTGCTGAACCGTTTACCCGCCGAAGATGAAGCTCTCGCACTATTCGAGAAGCACACCAACCCCAACGATGGATGGATGCGTCTTGCTGCCAAGCGTGTCCTCGAGTCTCTGCTCTCGGTGTTCGGCCGCACCCTGAGATCACGCAAGCCCAAGGATCTCGAGGAGATGGCCCACCTACTGTCCTCAAACTCCGCAAAACCACTGCCCGAGGACGAACTCGACTCGGAGGCGTGGATCTCGTCATTCTCCGGCCCCAACCTCCGATGGGAGTGCCTGGGTATACTCTTCACCTACTGGGCCCTTGGCGCACTCGCAGACCACCCTCACCGCCCAGAAATGCTCCGGAACCCGAATCAGCGACACGCGCCGATGGCGGCGATACACAAGGAAACTGCAGATATCTGCGCACAGCTGTGCAAAGGATGCCCGCCGAACAGCTTGCTGCTTTACTCCCTGTACAAGGCCGCCATCCTGGAGTCGATGATCACGGGGGACGCGGCCCCGTCCTTTTGGAGGCTCCACGGAGAGAACATCGCGTTGGTGACATACCTCGGCCTCCACGCTTTACAAGACGACAAGACGCCTTATGTACCGACAGCTGCACAAGAGGTCAAAAGGCGGCTCTTTTCGCAACTCTTTGTTATTGACAAGGTGGCGGCGTCTTTTAGTGGGCGGCCGCCGCTGCTGAGCAGGAAGTACATGCTGACGCCACTGCCGCTCGACCTGAGTGACGAGGTCCTGATGTCTGACCCCGAGACCATAGCACAGGCGGTGGAAGAGCTTGATGAAGACGGGTGGAACCGCAAGGGTGAACGTAACGCGGCGACAATTGTCCGGGCGAGGCGGAAGCTTGCGCGGGTCAAGGACGAGGTGATGGAAGTGGCCCTGGGGGATCCTGCATACACTTCCATCGATGCATTACTGTGAGTCCTGCCCCGGTTTTCCATCCCAGTCTGTCTGATTGGAGGGAAACTCCTTGCTGACTCGGCAGAAGGGCGTTGAAGGAGCACCAGTATGAAGCCTTTGCAGGAATACCAGACTCCCTCAAGTACTCACCTGACATGGTGAGAGACCCGAGCATTCCGGCTCCGGATATCTACATCAAGATCCTTGTGTGGCTGGAACATCTGCAGAATCTATTCTTCATCACGCGCCTGCTGGTACAATGGGGACACGACAGCAACGCCGAACTGCTGAATGTCAGCTTTGAGATGGTGTCTGTGACGCTGGTGTTTTGGACGCATATGGACCGGCTTGCTGGACTGCATGGAGACTTTGAGTGGCTTGTAAGTTGTGACCCTTCTGGCTAAGTTTTCGCCAATGTGTTTCCCCAGACCGAGAACAAGACTCACATTCAAACAGGTAATGGCATTCGCAGCTCCCTCAGGCGGTGTCCTTTGCAACGAGCTTTTAAAACCATCACTGCAGCATAGGCCGGTGCCAGGTGTCACCCGCTCCGGCATCATTCAACAGCTGAGCCTTCTGAGTGGTTTCCTGGACTGGGTTAGCCCGTCCGCGCCGAACGGCGACCTCTGCAGTTCCTGTAAGGCTGTCATTCAGCACGTCCTCGACTACGCCCTCAATGCGCCGCCCGCGGAACCGTCGAGTGCGGCCCCTGAGAACGCTTTCGATTTCAATCTTGACCTTTCTTCCGATATTGACGCCATCAACGGATATTTCAATTTTGACCTGTTGAACACGTTCCACTTCGAGGCGCCTGGCTTTATGGGATCCTCGCAAGAGCTTGAGACTTGACGCAGCACCATCACCCTTCGAGGAAAGAGAAATCAATGAAGTCTATATGACACTCCGAAACAAACAGATCACCACTTATTAGTATATTATATAACCCAACTTAAATACCCAATTTTACTCCTCTTTTAAATATATCTAGAAATATTTATAATATCTTTTAATAATATTAAATACTTAAAATATAATGAAAATAAAGACTGAAAATATTAAGTTTTTTCATTAAAAGATTATATAAATATATATAAAGCTATTAAAGACTTTATATATAAGCTCTAACCTAATATAGAAAAAAGTAATTAAATAGAAAGGTAGTTATATAGTGTAGAGGAAAAATATACCTACTAGTAGGTAATATAGCCGAAGCTAGACTCAAGTATAGAACTTGATTATGCCTTTAAACCTCCTAAGGTGAAGGCAGTCTCATGAGAACTTGTAGTAAACATGATCGACCGGACCCCCATTCTCAACATCAATGCTGATGAGCTTCTTCTTAATGTCGAAATCCTTAATAGCCCCCATAATCGACCACGAAAAGACGGTGGTCCCAAGCTTATGCCAACAAGCCTTCTTCGCCGCCACACTCTCCGTCCCAGAAACAACAAAAGAATCGGTAGCCTTTAGGCCCATCTCATCTCGGCATTGTCCGATGGCCTCCTGCATGTTGGTGTTCTCGACATTGTAGCCCAGCACCTCTTTCAGGTCGGATGGCGCAAGACCCGTCCTGGTCCAGCACTCCTTCAGGACCTGCCGCATCTTGAGGCGCGGCTCCGTCGTGTCCAGTCCGTTCATGGCCTTGACAACTGTCAGGCGCTTTGACTGCTTGTTCACGATGAGGGTGTCGACTGCCTCGGGCTGGCCGTCGGCGTCGACTTTGTTGTAGCCGTCTGCGTAGACGTTGAAGACCCAGCGGTTTTGTGTCTCGTCTGTTTCGAACTCTAATGCATAGGCTTGGTTCCCCTGGGATGATGTTACGTGTCGGGTCTTTCGTGGGGCTGGGTTGGAGGCTACGTACCATGAAAGGCCTGATGGGAGCACAAGAGACCTTAAAGAGTTGTCAGAATTGCTCTTTGAGCGGCATGACAGCCCCAAGGTCCGTGGAAACCCAATACTCACGATGCTGAGAAGCAGACTCAGGGCGAAAATGAGTGGTTGGAGCGAGTATTGGGCCATGATGGCAAACGAGTGGAACTGTTGCTGATGGTGTGGTGAAGAGGGACATAGAACCCATCAATGTTTTCTTCGTGTATGGGTGCTGGGCAAATAAGTACTTCACTGTCAATTGAGTATTCTAGGGCATTTGCGGCAGCATTTATTACTGTTGATCCATTCAGTTTCCCAGACTCTTGTTGGCTCGTCAGCCCGAAAGCTGGCAAATCACAGGGGTTGACTTTTTCGCATGACAGTCCGTGCCGGTACTCATTTAATAGCATTGGGCACCTGAAGAATACTAGGAGTAGATGCTCACCTACTCGCGGCCAAGGCGTCCATTTTTTTTTTTTTTAGCTACTACTATAATAAAGATTGCCGTTGAGCTGCGTTCCAAGGTTAAGCAGGTTAAAATGGACCAAACGCTTTTTTGCGACAAAACCCTAAATCCACATTTCATGCACACTTTCCTTAATACACCCACCCCACTACTTCACATAACCCTAACCCTAAAAAAAAATTAAATCTTAAAAAATAAATAAATAATAATAATAAAATAATAATAATAAAATAATAATAATAAAATAATAATAATAAAATAATAATAATAAAATAATAATAATAAAATAATAATAATAAAATAATAATAATAAAAGAATAAAATATTTTAAAAATTTAATTTAATTAAAATTATTATATAAAATATTTTAAAATAATTTTAAATTAATATTTATAATATCATTTATTATTAAAAATATAATTCTAAATTAATATAATAAATTATATTTAATAAAATTTAAAATAATATTATTAATATATTAAAAATTAAAGTTATTATAAATTATAAACTTTTAATTTAATATTAATAAATTAATTATTTAAAAATTATTTATATAAAATATAAATAAAATTAAATTAAATTATTTGTTTATTTATATAAATTAATTATTAAATTAATATATATTTTATAATTTATATTAAATATTAAATATAAAATATTTTATTATTATTATTTATTAATTTATATATTTATATTTTTATTCTTATTAAAAATAATATAATTTTATTAAAATAAATATAAATATATTTAATTAATATATTTATAATAAATTTAATAAATATTAAATATTATAAATATATATTTTATATTTATTAATAAATTTTAATAATAATATAATTTATAATTTTATTTTTTAATTATTTATAATTTTATTTTTATATTAAATATTAAAATAAATTATTTTAATAAATTATTTTAATAAATATATTATTAAAAATATATTTTATAAAAGATTTTATTTAAATAAACTTTTATATAAAAATATATATAAAATATTTATAATTTAATAATTTTAAAATTAAAATTAATTTTATTAAAATTAAATATATAAATTAATAATAAAATTTATATTATTATTATATAAAGTTTTATTAAAAATACTTTTTTATATAAAATAAAATTTTATAAATTTTAATATAATTAAATTATATTTAATTATTAATATTATATTTTATTTAATAATATTTAATATTATAAATTATTTATATTTCTTTTAATTTTATTATTAAATTAAAAGTAAATAATTAAAGTTTTAAAATATAATATAATATATTTTTAAAAATTAATCTATTTAAATTTATTATATAAAACTTTTATAATAACTTTATAATTTATATTAATAATATTATTTATTATTAAAAATATCTTTTATATTAATATATTAAATTATATTTAATTAATTTAAATTAATATTATTAATTTATTAAAAGTTAAAACTATAATAAATTATAAATTATTTGATTTAATATTAATAAATATTATATATAAATATTAAATTTATTATATAATTTAAACTTTTAAATTAATTAAAATAAATAAAAATAAAATTATTTTTTAAAAGTTTTAATTTTATTTAAATAAATATCTATTAAATAAAACTATTTAAAAATAATTATTTAACTTATTATATAAATTAAAAATAATTAAATAAAATAATTATACTTTATTATTTAAATTTATAATTTTAATAACTTTATTATAAATAAAAAATAATTATTAATAATTAAATTTATAATTATATAAAAGTAGATTTTTACTTTAAAAGAATTATTAATATTTAAAATAATTAATATATATTTAAAAGTTAAAAATTATAAGTTTAATTTAAAGAAAATTAAAATTTATAAAATTTTAAACTTAAACTTAAAAGTTTTAATTTAATATTTATATTTATAAAAATAAAAGTATTTATATAATTTAAAAAAGTTTAAATTAAATTAAATTTAATTATAATAAAAATTAAATTAAATAAAAATCAATTAAAAATTATAATTATAAATCTTTTAATTTTATATTAAAAGTTTTTAATATTATATAAATATTTTTATAATTATAATATTTATAATATATTAAATAATATAATATAAGTATTTTATTATAAAATATAATTTTAAAATTATTTTAAAATTATTTTAAATAAATCATTTTAAATTAAATAAATTTTAAATTTAAATATATATTTATAAAAATTTATATTAAAAATAAAAATAAATATTATTTTATTCTATTTTATAATATAAAATAAATATTATTTTAATTAATAATAATAAATTATTATTAATTATTTATTATATATTAAATATTTTTAAATTATTATTAAATTATTAATTTAAACTTTATATTAAAATATAAAATAAATATTTAAAAATTAATTTAATTATTTAAAAATAATTATTAAATAAAAGTTTTATTTAATTTTAATAATATAAATTATATATTAAATATAATTATTTATTATTTTAATATTTTATTAATTATAATTATAATAATATAAAATATTTTATTTTAAAACTTAAAAATATTTTAAAATTAATTAAAAATATTTATAAAATTAATAATAATAATATATATAATTAAAATTAAAAATTATTAATAATTATAATAATTAAATAAAAATTATAAAAAGTATTTTAAAAATTTTTAATATTTAATTATATCTTTTTTATAATTTATTAAAAAATAAATAAAGTTTATTTATTTTTAAAAAAATAATAAAAATTAATTTTATATTATATTTAAATTTAAAATATTTTTAAATTTTTAATTTTATATTATTATATTAAATATTATAATATATTATAATAAATAATTTATTATTTAACTTTTAATTATTATATTAATAATAATTTAAAATAATATAATTAAATTAAACTTTTTTTAAAAAAATTAAATTTAAATTAAAATAATATTTATTATTATAAATATTATATAAAAAAAATTAAATAAATAAAAAAAATATAAATTATTTTTTATTATTATTATTATAATAATTTTAAATTTAATTATTAATTAAATAATATTAATAATAAAATATTAAATATTTTTATAATAAATTATATTTTTTAATAAATATTATAGATATTAGTTAGTTTAATTTATATATAAAAAGTAGTTAAAGTAGTGTATATTAGTATTAATTAGAGGTTTGCTTAGCTAGGTGGTGAAGCGCCTAGTTAGGTTAGCTAGACCTGCTGACTAAGCATAGTGGTCCGTATATAGGTATAGACCTACTAGCCTTATAGTAGCTAATCTACTACAGCCTATTATTCCTATACTAGCAACTTTTTAGTCTTTTAAAATTAAGGTCCTTTATCCCTTTCTTCTAACTAATTAGAGAGCTCTATTCACTAATAAAGTAAGTTTTAATTAAATTACTAAATTACTTAAAATTACTACTAAATATATAATTATAATTCACCTAATTTAAACACTATAAAAACACTCTAAATTAACGTTTTTATAAATCACCTAAATTACTTAAATTTAAATTACTTTAATAAGTAAAATTAAATCTAAATTACTAATTACTTATTAGGTTATTACTAAATAGTATTAACTATTAATATTTAATTAGTTAGCCTTTTTAATAGTTTCTTCTTCTTCTTTTATAGTTTAGTTAGTTAAGGTACTCTAGTGTGCGTTGGGTGGGCTTCCTCTAGTTAGAGTAGTAATCATTAAAGTCATTAAAGTCGCAATCATCGCAATCGTTGCCATAGTCGAAATCGTCATCTAGGGCAAAGTCTGGTCCACCTTCATCTGAGTAGTAGTCCTCCTCTTCCTCATAGTCTTCGTCTCTACCAGTAGTATAGTTCTCTTGTGGTCTGGCAGAGTGGCCTGGGGCGAAGCCGCCGTCGAAGCCGCCGCCTTGTCGGCTGGCAGGGCTGGCTTGGGCGAAGCCGCCACCGCCGCCACTTCATCGGGTGGCAGGGCCAGCTGGGAAGCAGCTGGCGAAGAAGTCAGATACCCACTGGGGTTGGGGCTTCAGCTTGGATAGCCTGAGGGCCGTTGACTTTAATTCAATTTAATGGGAGGTAGTTACTTCTACTACTTCTACTTCTTATAGGCTATTAATTTAGAGTGGAAGTCTACCCTCTTAAATTTATCTTAAGGTTATTTAGATAGGTTAAGCTAATAGCTATTATCTTATATTAAGATCTTATTAAAATTAATAAACACCTTAAGTAACTCCTTTTTATTAGTATAAATACTATAATAATAGAAATACTCTTAAAGCTTTTAAAATACTTTATATTTAATCTTTTAAAAAATTACTTTTAATTAATTATTAAAAAAATCTTAAAAGTCTTAATAAAAAGGGTTATTAAAGTTAAGAAAACAATTATAATTAGATAATATACTAATATATTAAAAAATCTATAAAGTTTTATAGGTTATTAATTCCTTTTAAGTAATATATTAAATAATTTCTATAATAATAGTTTATATAGTTAAGAATTTAGGTTATATTAAGTTTTTAGTTTAAATAAGTAGATCTTTATAGATATTATTAATATACTTTTTAAAGGCTATATATAATTTTAATTTATAGTCTTTACATTATAGGTAGGTGATAGGTTGGCTGGTAGGTATTGTGGTCTCTGTAAGAAAGGGAGATTGTCCGACAGGCAATAAGGGCTGCTACGGGCATCCATAGTCTAACGCTTCTTTTGGTGTGTCATGAGAG